ACTTGTCACCTCTCGCATCGACTACTGTAATTCTCTTTTATTTGGTTTACCACACAAGCTTCTCCATAAACTCCAGCTGATTCAGAATTCAGCTGCTCGTATCATAACCCGGACTCCATCTATACAACACATTACTCCCTCTCTTAAACAGCTTCATTGGCTTCCCATCAAAGTTCACATTGAATTTAAAATTCTTCTTCTCGCATATAAAACTCTCCATAACCTCGCTCCAACTTACCTCTCAGATCTTATTCAGCCCTACACCCCTTCTCGAACCCTTCGTTCTTCCTCACTGGGTCTTCTCCATACACCCACAGCTCGTTTAACCACCATGGGTCATAGAGCTTTTAGCCGTGCAGCTCCTCGCCTTTGGAATTCTCTCCCAGCTAACATCCGCAACTTAGATTTGTTATCCCAATTCAAAGCTATTTTTAACTTTTTCTTTTTTTTGGTTCATTGATATTGCTATTTATTGTTATTTATTGCTGTTTTATTTATTATTCATGATGTATGTTGATGCCTTAAATAAAATGTATAATTATTATTATTATTATTATTATTATGTTAGGATGTGCACTGTCAAGCATACTTAGGAAGGTGATTGGTTAAACATTTCAGTCCTGCATAACATAAATTAGACCGTAAAATGATTTTGCTCCTCACTCCTCACTTGCATAAGACTGAAACATTATTATATAATACAATTTTAAATAATAGTATTAGAATTAATTATAAAAATAAAGTATTTATTAATTATGCTTTATATTTTTAGCTGTTTGTTTCTTGCATATTAGTGAAAAAAGCTAATTGCTTAATAATAAAAAAAATCAACAGGAGTAAGTGCAAGTTTTTCTTACACACCTGACAATGACAGGTAAATTCAGTAAAACTACTGGGAACACGATTGTATTTAAAATCTATTTTCAATATTAATTTGTAATTTATTTTAATTAGTTTTATATACAGTGGGTATAGAAAAGAATCATCTCCTTTAAAATAATCACATTTTGTTGCTTTGCAGCTTGAAATGAAGACCAACATGTCAGAAAAAAAGAAAAGAAAAAAATACGGAATCACTGAGTTGGAAAAAGGATCACCCCCTCGAGTCAGTATTTTGTTGAACCACCTTTTGCTTTAATTACAGCCTTTAGGCTGTTGGAAAATGTCTCTACCAACTTTGCACATCTAGACTTTGCAATATTTGTCCACTCTTCTTTGCAGAACTTCTCAAGTTCAGTTAAATGTGATGGTGACTGTTTGTGGACTGCAGTCTTCAAGTCATTCCACAGATGTTTTTAAGTCTGGGCTCTGAGTAGGCCATGCAAGGACTTTCACATTTTTTCTCCTTCAACCACTGTGTGGTCACTTTTGCTGTGTGCTTTGGGTCATTGCCATGCTGGAAGGTAAACCTTCTTCCCATTGACAACTTTCTGGCAGAGGGCAGTGTATTTTCCTCAAGAATTTGACTGTATGTTGCCCCATCGATTTCTCCTTCTATCCTGACAAGTGCTCCAGTCTCTGCTGCAGAGAAACACCCCATAACAGGATATCACCACCTCCATGCTGTACTGAGGGAATGCTGTTATTTGGATGGTGAGCTGTATTGGATTTCTGCCAGACATATCATTTGGTGTTGAGGCCAAATAATACAATTTTAGTCTCATCTGCCTCAGAATCTTCAAGGTGTGTTTTGGCAAAGCTCAGTCTGACTGCATGTGTTCTTTCTTGAGGAGTGGCTTTTTTCTTGCAACCCTCCCATACAAGCCACATTTGTGGAGAATTTGTGATATTGTTGTCACGTGCACACAATGACCACTCTGTCATAAATTCCTGCAACTGCTTCAGAGTGCTTCTTGCCAGTTTCCTCCTGGCTCTTTCATCCAGTTTGGAGCGACGTCCTGATCCAGGGAGGGTCTGTGTTGTACCAAATACCTTCGGCTTCTTAATAGACTTCACTGTGCTTCTAGGAATTGATAAAGCCTTTGAAATTTTTATGTATCCATCTCCTGACTTGTGCCTGTCAACAACATTATCCCAGAGATCTTTTGACAGTGCCTTGCCACCCATAGTTGATTGTTTGCTTCAGTTGCACGTCCAAGGACTGAAATGCTCCAGGAAAGCTCTTTTCATGCTGAGCTAATCAAAATGAACACAGTTGATCACAGGTGAAAGTCAAATGGCTTTGGCTGCGTCCAAAAGCTCTAAAATGCCTTCGGAGGACGCATTCTAAGGCAGGAAGGCATCAAGGCACATCCGAATCCAAAGTTAGCTTCACTTCCTGTCTCATGAGAAACATTCATCTGTTCAATTTTTGAAGGCAGCATAGATATATCCTTCGCTGCCTTTGATATCCCACAATCCTGTGCGTTCCATTCCGTGATGGTTGAACTAAAAAATAAAGATGGTGTCTGAAAGTTGCGTTTGGTGGTCAGTTTGTGTGTAAATGTATATTTCTGACTAGGGATGTAACGATTACCGGTTTGATGATAAATCATGATAAAATTCCCCACGGTTAGTATTACCAGTTCATATTTTAATTATCATTAAAATCGATAAACCGTATTAGATTACCGCGATTCGAACAACTTGCGATAAATAAATACTGTCCAGCATAAAGCCCAGTTTTCAGTAACAGTCTCACGTGCGCACAGCAAGCAGAGCAGTTTCGTTTTGAGTGAAAACAGGGCGTAAAAGCTGGGAATTATACAAATTAATAACAGCATAAAGCCCAGTTTTCAGTAACAGTCTCACGTGCGCACAGCAGGCAGAGCAGTTTCGTTTTGAGTGAAAACAGGGCGTAAAAGCTGGGAATTATACAAATTAATATATGAATGAATTAATTATATGAATGTACCTCTGAAGGTTCAGACTGTCTTCAGAAATGATTCAATGGCATTTTGTTTTCATCTTCGCTCCATGTAATACCTAAAGGAAGTGTTCTTAATCGCAATACTGCTTTGTCCTCTGAGGTTACGGGAAACAGCTCTAATTCTGCTTTTCCACAAGCGCCACCTGCTGTCAGCGAGTGGATTTACAGAGACTTATATTTACATTCAGCCTGTGTGCAGTTTCTGTCTGGCCAAAAATGGACCGAATTTGCATGCTCTGCTGTAAATTTAGACCGGTTGATGAAAAACAAGCTTATGTGGATTCTACACATTTAAACAATTCCGATAAGTTATCTAGAATTATTTATGGAGTAGATCAAATACATATAATAATTTATTAATCAATTATCATTTTGACTTAACCCTTTTCTTTATTCAAAGGCTGAAATGTGAGGTTTACCTTTTTATGAAACTTTTTCAAAGCTTTATTTGAACATTTACATTAGATATTTGAACATGCTATAAACTGTTGTCAGTCAAGTTGTCATTTAAAATCCGCACATCATTGGTAATGTTATTGTTTTAGTGATTATGCAAACAAAAAGTCATTTTATTTGTTGTATGATTTTTAAATATAAAACTTGAAGTGATTTATGTGTCAGTACTTTTTAAACATCTCCAGCACATTTTAACAATACTGTGATATTACTGATAACCGTGATAATTTTGGTCACTATAACCGTGATAAGAAATTGTCATACCGTTACATCCCTATTTCTGACTAACATTTTTTTTACTTTTGATGTTAGTTCTAGCGAGAAATCAGTATTATAGTAATTAAATATTCGTTTAGTTATCACCAAAACTCGTTCTATTTTGTTGTAGATCATTAAACCGCCAAGCTGCCTCAGAAGCCTGTCCGAAATCAGTTTAATGAGGAGCCTTCGTGCAAAAACACTGCCTGCAGAGGCATTGCCTGATAGGGCAGCGAGGCAGCAAGTCAGCTGTCTAGGCTTTCGGACGCAGCCTTTGTGTGCCATCGAGAAGGTGATTAGCTACAAACGAAGTTTACAAGTCATATTTAGGAGGGGGGTGATCCTTTTCTCAGGATCTCAGGACTGAACTCAGTGATTCTGTTTTTATTATTTTATTTTTTTCTGACATGTTGGTATTATATCTTTCACTTGGATGTTACACTGAGTAAATACAGTTGGATAAAACAAAAACTTCATTTCAGGCTGCAAACAACAAAATGTCATTATTTTAAGGGGGGGTGATTCTTTTCTATACACACTGTATATAATAATTATTTGTAATTTATTTGTATTTTAATCACTTATTTATAATATATATTGTATCACTGTAATTCATACATTTTATATAGAATATAATTTAAAATGGTAATATAATTCATTTTGAAAATAGTATGTTTTTATTAATTCCGCTATTTATCACTATATGTATCACTTTGTGTTTCATCCTGGATTTGATGTACAGTACTTGGTACATCAGGTTAATGATTAAAACCTATTGTTCTTCTAAACATCCGAATGAAAAAACTTTCTGTTTCTCTCCATCTTTCAGTATCATAAAGAATACAGCCGCTTTGAGTGAGATTCTGCAAGACTTCAAGTATGACTCAGATGAGCCGGAGTGAGATTCAGTCAGTCAATCTCAGGAGACGGAGATGGATTCAGATCCTCAATGAGCTTTCCTTTCATCTAAGGTATCGATCGCTGTCTCAGGCGTTGTCGTAATTGGTACCAGCCATTCTTGTGGCAGTGTTCTTCAAAGGACAGTGTGACTAATGAAGCGACCTAAGTTTCCCAACAGTCGTCAGTGCCAAAGCAACAGTAACCACTGAATCAGTTCAGAGAGCGTGCAGCGGATGTTGGTTAGCGTTCGAGAACGCCACACAAGACTTCTCGGGCTGTGTTGGATCGCAGCTGAAGCTTTGCTGCGCAGTCTAACCTAAAAGGAATTTATAAGCATTCCGGCTGATTACTTTGACTGGCCGTTCCCTCTCTGTTGTGGTAACGTCTGAAGATTATATGATGCTTCGCTATTAGTAAACGCAATCAAATGTGAGCCTATTGATCAGAAGAATAAACATATCTTTTGGTTCTCTTTTTTGTGGGTCACATAAAACCGCAAAATGCCTTTTTTTTTCTTTCACACAGGCCCTATATCATGTGTGCCAACGGTAATGATTTGCTGTCTTGATATGTGTCGCAGAAGGAGGTACGCTTTGTCCTTACTGACCTGGTCGTGCGTTTTCTGGGCTTTCTGCAGCCAGACGCGCCATTGGTCGTAGAGTTTGATGCTGACGTCTGTACAGCCGTAAGAGTGTTTGCGCATCCAGCCGAAAAACTGCTTGAGCTCCTTTCGTAGTGTTGAGTTGTGCTCACTGGGCTTCGAATCGCATGAGCCAATATGTGACCTGTCTGTTGGGGAAATGACAATGGCATTAATTTGATATTAAATTCGAGTTTTTGGTGAGAAATTAAACAAAACATAACTGGAAATAGTATTGGCAATATATATATATATATATATATAGATAGATAGATAGATACTGTATATACATACACATACACTAGGACTGGGCAATTCTAAAAAAAATTGTTTTCCTATTTTTCAGCCTTCTGACAGTATTCAATATGGGATGCATGATATATCAGGAACATTAATATATATAATTTTTCATACTGTGCATTAAAATGAATATAAATTCACTTAAATTTTTTTTGTTTTTAGTGTTTTATTTTGAATTTAATTAGAAAAGACGGAATTTTAATATCGGTCATTTATTGGCCATAAAAACAAAATAATCATAATCTTATTAGTAACAGCCTTAATTTTTGTATTGGTGAATCTCAATATTTATTCTATCGAATCTTTTTGATAAATTTTTTTATACTTTTATAGAAATTCATTTTTATCTAGATGCACCAATATAACAAAAAAACATCAATGTTTACAGACATAATTTTTTTATTTCAACATATTACACATTTTTGACTGGTGATGATACAAGTGAATTATTAAGTTTGGAACTACTTTTACATTTGGAATATTAATTATAGATTATTATAGTTTTTTATTAACATTTTAATAATTAACTTTTATTTTTGTGTTTTTAGTTTTCTTTTTACTTTTTAATTTAAGATTTAGAAATTTGGTTGTGCTGTCATTTAATTAGTTTTTGTTTTTAATATTCCTAATTAGCTTTAGTTTTAGTAATTTTAGTACTTCTTTTACTTCATATAGTTGCCAAAGTTATTTCTATTTTTTTTTGTTTTTCAACCAATATTTTTATTTAATTTGATTTTATTTTATTTCAGCTGTACTTCAATTAAAGAAAATTATATTTAATTGTTTTAGTTTTAGTTAGCAATAACAACACAAGAGTGAAATTGATAAATTCATGAATTCGAACCATTGGAACTGATTCACGAAAATAAATTGAAATTACCAACAAAAAAAAATTGTTCTAACACTTTCATACTGGAGAGATAATGATTGTGAAACTAGTTTAATGACACACTGTTTATAGGAAACTTAAAAGTGATATCCACAACATTGATTCATTTTAAATCACAATCAAATTCTTCCCAAGTATATCGTTATTCTTTAATACTGAGTATATCACCCAGCTATATGTAGTACCCATTATTTGCTTTTTTTAAATTAGTGTCTACATATTTTCTATACGAATCATCAGATAAATGCATTTGTAAGACATTTGTTAAATTCAACCCCAGTTGACGACAGTTGCTTAAATGCAGTCGATTGTACAGTGTTGCCCTGAGCGATGTGCACATACCCATGAATAATAGGCTATTTACCAGCTCCCTGCTAATGAGCTCCAAAGCATTAAACATAGAATGCAGGAGGGGGAGCTCAGACTTGCCATAACTCATATTGCTTGACATAAAACAGAGCTTAATAACATCCTCTCTTTAATACAAAACATGTAACATCCTTTCTTATGAACCGAATCTGTTTCCACTAAGTTTCAGGTTGACCGCCCCTTTAATCTAAACATGCTCTAAAGAGTTTTTTAATTTATCAATCTACAAAAAGCCCAAAGAATTCATCAATTGTGCCCTAAAGAGCTCTGACATTTTGCTGAAGTCTTTTGAATCTACTAATGAGAGATCTCTATCAAGTAGCTTGATGTTTTTGCAGTGTTTACATATGGTTTGAATCTAATTAGCTTGTGATGCAGAAGCCTTATGTGAAGTAAAGGGACGTTGCATTATTGCATTTTGATGTAACTCACCGATGCCAGGTGTCGATGCGGCAGTCGAGTAGCTCCAGTCGCTCCAAATGCCTGCTTTCTTCGAGCCGTAGACGCCTATCGGGTTGCAGCGTACCTGGGCGAAATACACTGTACCGGCCCTGAGACCCGCTAGCCGACAAGACGTCTGGTTCCCAGCATCATCTATGACCTCATGTGAAATAGAAAATTAAAACTAAGAATAATAATCTTAAGTATGTGCACCAGACATTATATTGGGGAAAGCTGTTCACCCAGAAATGTAAATTCTGTTTTTTTCCCCCCCACCTTCATGTCATTCCAAACCTGGTAAAATTATACAGGTTTGGAACAGCATCATAATAGTGGTCCATAGGACTAGTGCACTATATTCCAAGCCTTCTGAAACCGTACAATAGGTTTCTGAAAAGAAGCGTGTGAAATCACAGACAGATAATCTTCCTCTCTAGTGAGAAGTTAACTGCTGGATCCTTACGTCAGTGAGTTGAATGTGAGAACTGGATTAGTCAGTAATTAAATGAATCATTCAATCAAAAAAGCTATCATATGACTTCAAAAGACTTAGAATAAAGTGCACAAGTCATATGGAGTACCTTTAAGAGGCAGGACACCATTTTGGGGTCAGTCATCATTTAGGGTTCAGAAAGGAGTGGCCAGGAGATTCCTTACAAATTCTAATTTTGTGTTCCAAAAAACAAAGAAACTTATGTAGAATCACATGAGGCTGACTAAACAATAACAGAATGTGAATTTTGGGGTGAACTGTCACTTTAAATTTTGCTCCTGGAGGGTCACTTTCCTGCATCATCTTAAGAGTTTAGCTCTAATATACCTGCTTGGAAGTTTCTAGTGATCCTGAAGACCTTGATTAACTGGTTCAGGTATTTTAATTAGGACTAGAGCTAAACTCTGCTGGATGGTGGTCCTCCAGGAGCAGGATTGGCTATCCCTGCATTAAATGTAATTTTCTATTAGATTAAACCAGGGGTGTCAAATCTTGCTCTGTGCGCTTTAAAAAAAAAGTTATTTATTGGTCTATGATTATATCTATGATTCCATGAAGAACCTTTAACATCTAGTGATGTTTACAGAACTTTGGAACTCCAAAATAAACTTTATTTTTAAGAGTGTTTGGCTCCAACACCAGTTAAACACACCTGAACTAGCTAATTAAGGTCTTCAAGATTAACAGATATTTCCAGACAGGTGTGTTGGGGCAGATTGGAGCTAAATACCGCAGAATGTTGACTCTCAAGGAGCAGGATTTGAACTCCCCTGGACTAAACCATTCCAGCCATACCTTCCATTCATCGCTGTCCTCCACACGGTATCGTATCTGATACTTGGCCTGAAACAGGTAGTCTTTCAGGGCAGGAGGACTGCCCCAACGTACACTTAACTGATCTTCCAGATCTCCAACGCGGCTCACAAGGACATCAGGAGGCGGATCTGTAGTCACTGAACGTAATATTTCACATTAACTAACACTGTATGAAAGGCATTTTCAGAGCTGTTGATTAAACCCAATAAAAGTTGGTAACTGTTAAACTATTCTTTCTTTCACTTCAAAGACTAACTTCTTGTAATTGAACCTCCCAATAAACCTTCATTGGCGCTCATTAGCTCAATTATATTTTGCCGTTACTACGGCAATCTCCCGTTTCTATTGTTGTTTAAAATGGATGTGCTCCACTGCTACGTTTTTTAATCAAGCTTGCCTTTAGGGCAAAGCCAATCATGGAGCTTATTGTTTCAGAAGATGAGGAAATTAGGCCTTGAAGATGTAGTAATGTAATATATTTGCTTTTCTCAGCAAAAAGTGCTGATTGATGGATATAGTTTAATTGTGATTAATTCGATTAATACATTGGTATATCAAATAAGTCATTTGATTAGCATAGCAACATTATATTATGATGGAGTATATCTTCTAGAGGAAGGATACCTAACTTAATGAATTAGCTTTTTTAATGAATGTCTTTAATAATTGTATCATGACTGTTTCATAAAAGCAATATTGCACTCGAGGACGAGTTGTTTTGGTCAATAACACTACTTCTTTTACCTTAGGTTTTTCTGTTTATTAATACACAGTTATTATCCTATTATAGATCTATTTACAACTTAATATAGCATGTCTTCACACACATTTACATTAATTTCCAATAGTTTATTCCAAATGCAATTTACTATTAGTGCTGTAAACGATTATAAGGTCGCCTTTCAAACAGTATGAGAAGTTTTCAGAACATTTCTCTCAATCTTTTTCTTTTTGATGAAAGCCATCGCTAATGACAAGTTACCACAGTTAAAATGAATACATCTTTCTTAACTATTGAATTTGACCGTAAACTAAGACGAATATGACCTCTAAACTGAGTAGAGATGAAAATGAAAACGTATAAACACCTCCAACAAGACCTTTAAATGAACATGAAGTTTGAACACAAAGTAAACTTCAAAAATATTTGAAATGGTACTTACGTGCTGTGAGCGCATATGGAAGAAGCGCAACAAAAACCGACAGAATGACTAAAATTGTCATTTGTCTGGCGCACGCGTAATCCATTCTCCTTCACATAAATTGCTGAACATAAAAAAAAGCCTTAATCACCAGAAAGCTTCGTAAAAATCATTGCTGCTTCTGGAAAGCACCATTATGCGGAGAGGACGTTCAGATTCACCTTCACTCTCAATTCTGGAGAAGAATCAACATATAGCGCACGCCTCAAAAGCTGAAAAAGTTGATTCTTCTGAAGCTCCTCCCATGTCTTACCACACAGCCACAAGGCATTATTAGTAGCGCATCTGCAGCCAGTGTTTTCTTTTCTTTTTTTGTATACTAAGTTGGCCACAACAGAAAATAATGGAATAAACCCTTTCCAAAAACCTTTTTGTACTGGTCGGCCGTTCCTCAAATAGTGTTTTTAATCTAAAATTGGTTCTGTAGCCAATACACACGATTCATTTTTGTCTACATCGCATAGTTTATAATGGTCTGTTTTGTGCAATGCAGCTCCACACCCAATGCTTTACAACGAATTGTGCAATGCCTGAATAGTTAGGATACACTATCATTTTGAGATTATTTCATTCATTTCTCGTAACCATAAATACATTTTTTATTTATTTATGCATGTGTATTAGACTTCAGAGCTTTTATTAGACTTCAGAACTCATTCAATCCTTCTCAGGAAGTATTAATCAAACAAACTGTGCTTTTTCAAATGAAAATCGCTATAGAGAACGTAGCGAGATGAAATCCAACGTTCATTTGGACACAAAACTGTTCTGCGCAAAGACACTGCGCAAAGATGGGAGCATTATTTGGCTGCACCTCGAGCCAATTCTTCATCGATTCATGGATTTCTGTGTCCCAGTTCCTGGCACCGCATGGGAAACGTTACTTTGTATCCACCAAGAACAGGCCGAGGATGATGCTTTATGATGCATGAATTTAACGGTCAGTGTGTAGATCTGTCTGGCCGTATGTGTTATTCTCAAACAAACAGCAATGAACGGTCTACGTGCTAAATGCGCAAAACGGAGCATCTTTTTTGTTTGATGGGGGTCCATAAACGCTTGTAAAGACGTGGGTTGGTGGTATTTGCTTGATATCAGGAGGGCGACGTGGTTTGTCTTTTATATAATGTGAAGGAATTGTTTTTAAAAATATATATATATTCAGAAGCTGAGATCCTTAGTTTCCTTGCAGCCCGCATCATTTTGGCCTGAAACAGCAATGAACGGTCTACGTGCTAAATGCGCAAAACGGAGCATCTCTTTTGTTTGATGGGGGTCCATAAACGCTTGTAAAGACGTGGGTTGGTGGTATTTGCTTGATATCAGGAGGGCGACGTGGTTTGTCTTTTATATAATGTGAAGGAATTGTTTTTAAAAAATATATATATATTCAGAAGCTGAGATCCTTAGTTTCCTTGCAGCCCGCATCATTTTGGCCTAGAGGTGGTTCGAATTGATTTGAACGATTATTATTCTCATCAATTCTAGCTTTAACTGCCCTTAAAGACCAATGAGTTAATTTGTTATAAACAGAACAGATATAACAAATAAACAGTTTAATTTGAGTATTGGAAAAGGTGCGTTAAATAGACTTTTAATGACTTTTCTTCACATACTTTTTTTAGAGACCTTTAAGTGCAACTCATAATTTTTTTTTTATAGAATAGCATTGATTACACCAAAGCTCACAATGAAAAGAATCATCATTTATTTCAAGTGGAACATAACGAAAATAATAAATTGATTGGTCTTGCAATTCAATAACTGCTTCAACTCATTCGTAAGTATTTGTGACCCACTAAAGCAGGGGTGTCCAAACTCGGTCCCGGAGGGCCGTTTGCCCTGCAGAGTTTAGCTCCAACTTGCCTCAACACACCTGATTGGAAGTTTCTAGTATGCCTAGTAAGAGCTTGATTAGCTGCTTCAGGTGTTTAATTAGGGTTGGAGCTAAACTCTGCAGGACACCGGCCCTCCAGGACCGAGTTTGGACAGCCCTGCACTAAAGATATGTTTTTTGAGAATCATTAAATCGTTTGAAAATCCGACTACACGGGTTTGCGCTGTATGTTTTTAATTCGCTGAAAAGGACAGGCTCATAGCAATCATTTGTCCAGGAGTTGAAAAAAATAGAACCGATGAAACTTCCCATCTGTATTCGTTCGCGAACACATCATTTATTTGTCTATCTAAGAAAATCGAATCAGATCTCGATGATTTTTCAGGTGATAAGAGTGATTCCAGTACTCACTCGTGACCCAAAAAGACTCGGTTGTCACCAACTACTAGAGTAACAATTCAACTTGTCAAAAGATTCACTAGAGAACGGATTCAAAATATTTCAGTGGCAAAGATGAATCAAAATCCATATCATTTCTGTTTCCAATCCATGTTTTATTATTGACAGAATCAAGATGTGTTGCTTCTGAAATCCATCTGAGCTTTATTCTTGTAATTAAGGTATTTATTGGTGATGATTTTATTTAACGATTTCATTGTTTTAATTGGTTAACCTCAACAAATGTAATCTAAACATATAATATATACATTTTATGTTGCTCCCTGTCAATTCTGATGGTGATACTGAAGGTCACTGCAGGGTCGGGTGACTTCTGTTACTCTAAATGTCATGAATCGACCTTACGTGGGTTTGAATCACCACACTTTGCCCTTTCATCTTCAAACCTCAACCAGTGCTCTGCTGTCTCCACCGATAATCAATCCTCGATTCTGATGTGCCATTCAGAAAACTGCATGTCACATCTTGCATAATGATTTTTTTAGGAACTCATGTTGGATACTCTATAAAACATCCTTTGAGAACACCTCCATGTGACCACAACATCCCTCTGGATATGAACATCTATTAGAGTGATTCTTGGAGTTACATATATCACTGTACAAAAAGATTTATTCTGAATGAAGCCCTTTACCGTGTTCCTACAGGACTCCATCATGAATGCCTGTCACCGCGGCTGTCGGCTCTACTCCATCTGCCAGTTCGTGAATGGAAATCAAGGCATCAATACCAGCAAAGAAGAGTGCCAGGGAGGTATGACCTATTTGGATCAGTTTTGGGAAGTAGCTAGCTAGCTAACTAAAATTAGAAATGCTACTAACTTAACTCCATCAAACATGCTTACCTAAACAGTGAAGAGTTGGAAAGCCTGATTCATTCGAGTCAGTTTGTCCTAAATGATCCAAATCATTCTAATGAATCAGTTCATTCAGACAGTTCATGTAAATGAACAGATTTAAAAAATGATTTACTGATTTGACTCCATGCTCAATGATTTGGACTCAGTTATGTAAATTAGTTTTGCTGTGTGAATGTAATGTAAATTTACCTGTGCAAGTTTGATTTTATCAGTCTGAGGATGATTCATTCAATACCCTTTTTTTGTGCTAGCTAAACTTATTAAACTAAACAGTATCTTTTGCTACTTTTTGTAAGCAACTTGTAGCTAACTACTTTAATATAACTCCGATTGCATTCGTCTGAAAGAAGAAAGTCATATACACCTAGGATGGCTTGAGGGTGAGTAAATCATGGGGTCATTTTCATTTTTGGGTGAACTAACCCTTTAAGTCCTGCAAAAATCTCTTGAAATAATATCATAATTACGATTTCAGCGCTTGTAGATACAAACTTCCCAAGAGGACTTGAACGCAGTTTAATGGCACAGTCACGTTTGTGAACGTTTGTGGGCAAAAAAGGTCAACTGTCTATCGTCAACAGTGTAGTAATGTATGAAAAACAGCCTATCCACTATCCAACCAAGCTGCTTTTTGTTGATCAGTGTAGTGAATTGGTGTGACCAACTTGAACCTGTTGTGAAATCTGTGTGGAAATTGTTCACTCTCACACAAAATTTCCAGTCACTTGGAATCATGTGTAAATGTCTGAATTTCTTCAGGAAAAATTCGCCAAACAATAGAAAATGTGAGTACAGCTTATCTTTCACCCATTGCGAAATTCCCAATCATAGATGATTTTGCTGAAAATTTGCCGAATAACGAAAGTTGTGACGAACTAAAGTCTTGTTTTTGTGTCTGAAATCTCTTAAATGCATGCCGTAATTATGATTCCAGCGCTTGCAAGTACAAACTTCCCAGGAGGACTTGAACGCAATTTAAGAACTACAAAAATATTTCGAATTGGTGTGCTAGTACAAATTCAAAGCGAGAAAAACTATCTTTTTGCCTGTCAAAATGCATTTGACGAAGCTAATGTTTTGGAATAAAGTGTCCATAGCCCAAGGACATATACTATAGAGTGTGCAGACAAGCTGATAGCGCTCATTTTTATCCAGAGATGGTATTGTGTGCTAGTGGCAAACAGAGCTGTCTGTGTGAAGCTGCTAGGCATGAGGGAAGCTGTTTTATTGAAAATCAATCCTGTGCTTTCTGGTGCGGGAGGCTGCTGCTCAGATGTTTGTTGATATTGATGACTGCTTGACCGTGGGGAGGGTTGAATGGAGATGGAGCCGCCTGACAGGTATCGTTTATTTGTGTGTGCGTGCAGCATGTCAGGAGGCCTACAGTAAACTGCTGGAGCAGGAGGCGTGCAGCACGGGGTGTGCCAGCCAACCCGCTGAGCCAGAAATCAAACGGAGAAAGGTATGACTCTCGGATGTTTCCTTTTGGGGTTGCAGTGATGTTTTGACATCTCTATCAAATTGCTCTTGGCTTGATCTGCAGCTCAAGGCCCTGACCAACCGGCCCAAGCCCATCTCTGTAATGGATGCCGTGTCTAGCTGGTGCAATGACATCGTCAGTTCTGCCCAGAGCTTCATTTCTTCCACCTGGACCTTCTACCTGCAGGCTGATGATGGGAAGGTTGTTGTGTTTCAGGTTAGTCCGTCGGCATCTCTGCTTTCTGAGTAAACCTCTAGATTTTGCTTTAAACGGTAACAAAATTGTTTATTTAAAGGGTTAGTTCACCCAAAAATAAAAATTAGCCTACAAATTACTCACCCTCAAGTCATCCTAGGTGTATATGACTTTCTTCTTTCAAACGAATCCAGTCAGAGTTATATTAAAAATGATCTTTGATCTTTCAAGCTGTTTAATGCCACTCAGCGGGTGTTGTATGCATCAGTCCAAACGAAGTTAAATAAAAAGTGCCCATCCATAAAAAAAAGTGTCTCACACGGCTCCAGGGGCTGAGCAAAGGCCTCCTGTTTTGTTTTGATCTCTCCGTTGCGGCGCATGCACAAAGCTGAACTCATACGTCATCCGCCCGGAGCTGCTTCCATGTAGGACTGTTGCCACAAGCTACATTAAAGTGATTATTACATTTTGAATAGGGATATTTTTCTTACAAAACGCATCGATTCGGAGCCGTGTGAGACTTTTTAAAATTTATTTATTTATTTTTTTTTATGGACGGGCGCTTTTTATTTAACTTCTTTTGGACTGATGCATGCAACACCCGCTGAGTGGCATAAAACAGCTTGAAAGATCAAAGACAATTTTTAATATAACTCCGACTGGATTCCTCTGAAAGAAGGAAGTCATATACACCTAGGATGACTTGAGGGTGAGTAATTTGTGGGCTAATTTTCACTTTTGGGTGAATTAACCCTTTAAAGTTGAGTTTTGTTAAATCATTTTGTTACCTAATATCCTGAAAACATTTACATTTATTATAACTACCATGAACTGCACAAAATGGCACACTGTTATTTTATTTTAGTATTGTTTATATACTACAGTATTTATTAATATTTCGAATTAGCTTTTCTTTTTACATTTTCAGTTTTCATTTTAATTAGTTTTAGAAATTTAATGTAATCGTTTTCAGTTTTGTTTTTCTATTTAGCTTTTTTAATTTCAGGTTTTGTTTTGGTACTTTTGTCAGTTAATCACCAAGGCAACATTTCTCATTTTCATTCAATTGTTTTATGTTGAAGTTTTATAAGTTTAATATATTTTATTTAATTTCAGTTAACAAAAATTGTTTAATAGTTTTAATTTTAATTAACAATAAAAACATTGGAGTTCACATCTCAGAGTAAAAAATAAAAAAAGGAAATTAGGTTTTGCTTTTAATAATCTTTATACCTTTTGAGTTTGAGAAATAACATCCCAATTGTAAGATATAAAGTTGCAAACTTAACTGTTTTTTAATTTAAATTAGATGATTTTCATTACGTTTTTCTTTTTTACTCTTCTATTCGGCAACTTTATTGACATGATTAATAAATATATTTTAATAATAAATATTTAATAAAACTGACAATATTTAATTAAAAACATTTAATAAAATGTAAATAATTTTTACACATTAAATATTTAATTATTAACCTGACATAGACCAAATTCTTTTAAATGTTTTCAAAATGTCTCTTGAATTTCAAGGGATCCATGCTCTTGGCATAATAAATTAAGGAGAAACAAGCCACTCAACCTCTGATGTCTGTAACAAAATATATGGGAAGCATTTTCTCCTCCATTTCAAATGTTTTGAGTTTTATTATTTGCATTTAGCATTGTTTTGTTCCAATCAGATCAGACCTGTGACCCATTTTTGGGTCGCAACCCACCAGTTGAGAATCACTGGTGTAGAAGATTCCACTAGTGACTCTCATATGCTCTTGGTTTCAAGATCTGGTATGTTTTACGAAGGTTGCGGTCACATCACTGCACTATTGGGATCATATGAGCGCAGGGGGCTGGTTCTTCAAAGAAGAACCAGTGATGTTAAATCAGAAACCTTATTCTCCCTGGAGGTCATCCAAATGTATCCATAGCCTAACATGTTTTTGTGAGATTCCTGCTGTTTCTAAACCAACTACAATTATTAGACGACCACAAAAATATCTTGTAAATAAAGACAGTTATGTTAAATTCACTTCACAAAGCTTTACTTAAATATGCCAAAACAAATACAAATGTAGAAATTCATCATTACGAACTCATCCATGATTTCTCAGTTTAGTCGCAGCCATGATGAATGTGCGTTTAACAGTTGTGACAGGAGAAGAGGCGAGAGAGAACCTCCACAGCCGCCCTGCGGCAGGCCTAGCCTGTATTTAGTGGTCAGCTGGAAGACGGCCAGCCCAAGTGAAGGACTGACATGGGCCAGAGATTGCACAGATGGTGAAAGCCCAAGGTTTAGCGGTAGCATCGTGCGATCTAAACACTAAATCAAGCATATGGAATTAGAACTTTCTTCAAAAATGGCAAGACTCAATTTCTGGGGGAAGTGGAGCACTAATGATGGGCTTTTTGCCTCGGGCGTCTAAACGGAAAAGGAAAACAGATTGTTTTTCAACAGACCTGCTGTGGTGTGCATTTGGCCCAGATGATGCAGATTTCACAGTTACGTGAACCTCCGCACAACTGTAATATAAATAGCACGGCATAAAAAAACAGAATACGGAACTTTAGACTTCACTGGGTGTGAGCCCACATTTATGTCACATTTATCACATTTATGTTATAATCTCTTTGATTTTTGTGATGAACTAATGAAACGTATCTTCGAAGGAAAGTCTGGAGGGAATTCTTGCACTTCAGAAAGACCTTCCCCAAGTGTGTCCAACAGCTCTGCACAAATTTCCCTGAAGTTGCATGTTGAAGTATCGGTAGAAACCAAATGTCAAATTCTTTATGAACCAGCTTGTTCTGCTCTTTGATGCTTGAAGTTCTCTAGTAGAAGTTCCCCTGACACTCAAGTTCTTCATGTACTTTTTTTCTGGAATATCTTTAACAGTAGACAACATTTGTGGGAATTTGTAGACATCCAAATAAAACCATAAAACAGGTATTTTTAGACTTTTATACCAAATTATTCAAGAACAGGCAATATGTTTGTGAATAAGAGTAGCGCTATGCCATTTTTTAAAAGCTTAAATATTAAATCTGGTTTGCATTTGCAGGTGGACAGTTTATTAAAGGAATATTTTGGTTATGTACAAGTAAAGCTTAATCAACAAAATGTTGATTACCAAAAATAATTTTGACTTTAGAGTTTGTTGTAAAATTGGATATACCAGTAACTTTACACAGAAAAGGTTAGTAAGCAATTTTCCCACACTAAAATCATGTTAACACACACAATGTTTACATCTTGTGGTTGTACTATTGAAACAGTGTTTTTTAACATTTACAGATTGGCCCCATTCACTTCACTGTTTATTTAAAAAAAAAACAAAAAAAAAAACTTGTAAATATCCCACTGAGCAAAGGGTCTGAATACTTAGGACCATGTGATATTTCAGTTTTTCTTTTTTAATAAATCTGCAAAAATGTCAACAATTCTGTGTTTTTCGGTCAATATGGGGTGCTGTGTGTACATTAATGAGGGAAAAAATTAACTTAAATGATTTTAGCAAATGGCTGCAATATAACAGAGTGAAAAATTTAAGGGGGTCTGAATACTTTCCGTACCCACTGTATATATACATATACACTATGATCTGTAGCCTAGTTTCACATCAGTACCAGGCAGACATTTGACATTGGTTACGCTGCAGTCTGGGCTTAATGTTTGTCTGTTCTGTCCAGGGTTTTGATGAGTCCCTCAGAGGTAGTCAACAAGAATCAGACTATTTCCTCCAAACTGAAGGTTAAACATGACTCGGTCGCTGAATAGCCACTGATTGGTGCAATGGATTTTTGTTTGGAAGGAGGTCAGCCATCTTGTTTAAATTCTGGACTAGTTCAATGTGGACGGCTGCTACATGCGAAAAGACAAGTTTGGAGAAAGCAAGCAAATTCCTAATAAGGGAAATGGGATTGTTTACTATGAAGTCAACAATCTCGGCTTCGTCTTCTTGGCAGTCTTGTAAGCTGCATTGATCACCTTTGGCGAGTTCTGCAGTAATGCGTGACAGATGCACATCAGACCGCTTTCACTAATGGCAAGATTCCATTGGTCTGTGGCCAGTCAACATTAACTTCCTCAGATGTTCAATTTTCCCCCTTTGATTCTCATCTCTTGTGGACATCTGGATTCAATATTTTTGACAGCATCCCTTTCAATTAACGCAACTGCGAGACTCAAGCTTTTCGCAGAGCTAAATTGCCCATACTATGTTGCATTTCATGACTTCATGATTTCCCATGTTTGTTTATGTAAACAATTAGTTCATCCAAAAATTAGAATTCTATACTCACCCTCATGTTGTTAAAAACCCATATAATGTTCTTTCCTCAATGGGACACAAATGACCATATTTTGAAGTATGACCTCTCTTTTCAATACAATGTAAATGCCATTCAGAAAGGATGCAAAAAACACCATAAAAGTGGTCCATATGACTCTTTCGCTATACTTTTAAGTCTTGAAGTAGCATTGTGAGGAACAAACCAAAATTCAGTCAATTAGTTGATCCTGTTCACAAAACCAATCTGGGGTGCTTTTCCCAAAAGCAACATTCGCCATCTATGTTTGCAAGTCATTAGCAATGTAGTTCCAATGAACATTTGCAAACAACATCGCAAAGTTGTGTGATACTATAGCTCTCGACCTGTGGTTTGAAACATAGTTTCTTGTTAGTACAACATGTGGACTTTATAAATGATGCTTGAGCAAAATACGTAAGCTAACGTGTAGTGCAATCTATGTCTTTCATTCCATACATATACTAATTTAATTCAGTTTCTTTTGGCTTGTCAAATGAATAAAAGCACTGTTTTTGAAGAGCGTGCATGTGTGAATGTGCTAGGGGTGTCACCTGTTCCTTAAAATACGGAATCGTCCCATATTTTAAGGTAAAATGATGCGTCCTGTATCAAATCAATACGGGACGCGATTTGTCCCGTATTTTACAAAGGCCAACAAGCTGAATCAACAAAAGTATTTTGCACAGCTTATAATGCTAATAGCAATTATAATGAAATAAATTTCATAAGAAGTTAGAGAAGCTCATCTTGGCATCTTTGTTTCCATGGCAATGATGGAGTCTCCAGAACGCGTGCCGTTAAAGCCCTTTCACGCGAGCGCAGCATGCGCTAAACCTGTGTGGTTTAAAACATCGAGGAGCTCACGTCCGCCCTTTGAACACAAGATTCTCCAGATGTAGAGCTGAACAGGAAAGTTATCAATGGGTCTGTCCAGTAACTAATGATGAACGCGCAGTTTGCGGAGAAGCATTTGCTCATGGTTGACTGTCTGACTTAAAGGGATAGTTCACCCAAAAATTAAAAGTGTGTCATCGTTTACACTCCCACAAGTTGTTCCAAACCTGTAATAATTTATTTCTTCTGTTGAACATAAAAGAAAATACCTTGAAGAATGTGGGTAACCAAACCGTTTCTGGTCCCCAATGACTCTGATAGCAGCAGAGTCATTGAAGCAGGACCAGCAGCTGTTTAGTTACCCACATTCTTCAAAGTATCTTCTTTTGTGTTCAACAGAAGAAAGAACTTGCAGGTTTAGAACAACCTGGGTAAATTATGACAGAATTTTCATTTTTGGGTGAACCGTACTTTTAAAGTGACACACATCTGTGCTTCTAAAGGCATAACCCTATTGTTTTATTCAAATTTGGATAGACACAATTATTATATTTTTTAGACATTATTAGACCAATGAATTAATAGATTATAATTAATGTTAGACCCTATTTATTAATTTATCATTTATATTAAGCATATACATAATAAATAAGCATGTATGTCATATACATTTTGACATTTTAAAAAGGTAAAAAAAAAAGCTAAATTATTTAGATTTAATGTAGTCCTAATTTAAGCAAATGAATAAAAAATTAAATACAAATATAAATTAATCTCATCCATGTAACAACTGCAGAACTGTCAAAAAAAGACTAATAAGAATTAATCATTTACATTCATGAGCATGTTTTCTCATGGTGTATTGTTGAGCTATGAGTTCCTCACTGACTATTTGTGTCCTGGGTGGGGTCGTGAATGGGTGTCCCTTATTTTGGCTTGCTGAAGGTGGCAACCCTAGAATGTGCTGTAGTACCATGATTGAATCCAACATCTGAAATAAAGCAAACGAGAATTAGACCTCAGGTGCCATGTTCGTTATTTACAGCAATAATCTGAAATTAAATTTGAAATAGAAAAAAAAATAGAAATTAAGCTCTGGTGATAATTGACGCATGTGGAAACACCAGTTCACGAATTAGAAGTATGAAATAAGGATTTCGAAGTGGAGACTGGTTTTCCTTTGCTGTAAACAAAACTTTGTTCTCGCATTACTAGCATATTCTCACCAGAGTTTATGCTACACCTACATCATCTGCTGGAATGCCACTCTCTCGTGAACGGGCATGACAGTTAGCTGAAGGTAGAGATTACGTTTACAATGTTTTAAATATGGATATTTTATTCTTAAATAAATGCATCGATTCACTTCAGAAGACATTTATTAACTTCCTGGAGCCGTGTGGTGCACGTTTTATGATGGATGGATCCTCTTTATTTTGCTCTTCTTGACCACCGTTCAATGCCATTATAAAGCTTGGAAGAGCCAGGACATTTTTTTTTATATAACTCCGATTGTATTCATATGAAAGAAGAAAGGCATATACACCTAGGATGGTTTGAAAGTGAGTAAATCATGGGGTAATTTTCATTTTTGGGTGAACTATCCCTTTAAACAGCGAGTTATGCTGTTGTACATGAAATGCACCCTTGAATGATTTGTTCATTTATCTGACCTATATAGTTCTCAAGATCAATGTAGTGCACATGTCAAATGGAGATACTTTTACCCTTTTTGAAGCTTGAAAGCTTCACTCCCTGTAATTGCTGTAATTCACTGTAATTGCGTCAAAAAGCGTACAGAAAACAGACTTCAGATTTTCTCCCCGCAGAAGAAAGTCATATGGGTTTAGAACATGATGAGGGTGAGTAAATGATGACAGGATTTTCATTTTATCTGAACTATTCCTTTAATCTTTAGAAATTAAGATTGGACACACTAGTCAGTTATACATATGTAAAAGTACAATCCCAATGTATTCCTTATGTGTCCAGTTACAGACTACTACACTATAGGAATAACATGACACTCCAAACATGAAACTCCTTGTTCTCGTCTACCACGGCTTGACATGAAAAACCATGTGTGTTTGCCTCTCTGTGGTCATTTCGGAGGTTCATATGAGCCTCCCTATAAGATGTTATCTCCAAGGTCTGCTCTGCTGAGCCCGATTTAGAAGAATTCAGTGGAAGAGAGCAAAAATCTCTTTAATAAGATCTCAAGGGGGAAGTTAGGCTAACCGAGACTTCCGTACCCACTGTATATATTGTTGCTCTTTTGTTAGTTTTGACATCAAATCAGGTATTATACTTTTATCAGTGATTACTCTTGGGAATCTATTTCTGCTCTTTCTAGCTGTACATAATACAGGCGAAAGTAGCTGCATTAGCAGCTAGTTTTTTTTGCTTGTATTTTTGAAACATGCCCTCTAAGTCATCATATTTACCTGTGCAATTTGTCGTCTGTATGTTTGTAAGAATCCAAGCATTTTTGTCACTCTGCAAATTGTATTTCTGCTTTGCCGCTCTGTGCATGATTGCGTTGAAATCCTCACCACAACAAAATGGTCACAAACCCAACCGTTTCATTCAGAAGCCTTTCTGCTGAGTAAATCCCATAATGCTGTTTCCTGCCCTTGACATTGTGTTTGTTGATTCTCTCAGAGCCAGCCAGAGATTGAGTACTCCTTGCCTGAGTTACAAGCCCCGCGCTCTAACGTGGTCGACAAACCCTGGCCCCAAGTCAACTCCCACACACAGCGGCCACATACTGGTAAGAGTGACCGCTTTCTCCCCAGATGGCTGCTGACAGCTTTCGTTTTTTTTTTTTTCCTCTGAAAGCTCATTTAAGTGGAGCAAAGGACCAGAGCTTGAGCTTTGACTTTCATTTGAGACACATCCTGCGCCGCCCCGCTGTAGTTTGTCCGAAGCTGGAGGGTCATAAAATCAATGTCCACTTGCTGAAAGTGCTGCCTCTGCATCCTTCCAGGTAGGCGGTCACATGGGGAGAGGAATGCGGCAAAACCTGGGATGAAAGGAAAGCATGTCAGCCAACATGCTGAGGACCCAGCTGCTGAGCACGACTTCCTGGGCTGCATGTCAAGGTGAAAGGGACTTTTTTTCAGTCAGGACATGTTTAAATGTTCAAACTGCTTGATGGTCTATTGATAATGTACTAAACACATTTAAGTTGTATTTGGGCAACAGTGTGGTTATGTCAGTAAAATGTTTTAAAAACATTTTGCAAAAGTAAACATTTTAATTTGTAACTTTTATCAATTTTATTTAAAAAACTGTGCATACACAATGTTTATTTTATATATTTATATATATATATGACTTCAGATGCAAAAACCATCTGAGATTTTTTTTTTCTTTTAAATGAGCATTTTTATCAGGCTCCTATGTTTAGGTTAAGTAATTTCACTTTAATGGCAATGAAAAGGTTAAGTTAGTCTTAGTTATTGTATGCCTTATTTATTTTTTATAAGTATATAAATGTAATTTCCATCCTTTTTAAATGTAATTGATATATTTTAATATTTTGTACACATTTTACAAATGTATACATTTGAATAATTTACTTGCATATACAGTGGGTACGGAAAGTATTCAGACCCCCTTAAATTTTTCACTGTTATATTGCAGCCATTTGCTAAAATAATTTAAGTTAATTTTTTTTCCTCAATGTACACACAGCACCCCATATTGACAGAAAAACACAGAATTGTTGACATTTTTGCAGATTTATTAAAAAAGATAAACCGAAATATCACATGGTCCTAAGTATTCAGACCCTTTGCTCAGTATTTAGTAGAAGCACCCTTTTGATCTAATACAGCTGTGTATATATATATATATATATATATATATATATATATATATATATACATACATACATACATACACATATAAAAACGTAATACACTTTGAACTTTTTTTAAAGTGTCGTAATTTCTTAACATACATCAATATGTAACTTCTTCATGTATCTTTCCCCTAGGCGCTCAGGACTACCGCGTTGGATTTTAGCAGCATGTCTCTTCCTGTCTATCATGGTGATGCTGTGGCTGAGCTGTGCCAGTCTGGTCACGGCACCTGAGCAGCATGTCAAGACTCAGGTACCCATTCATTCATCAAACAAACACTACCAAAGAAATATAAGCCAGACAAGGAGAGAGCATTTCTTTAAATGGATGAGTAGGAGCAGAGGAGAAGCAGCCAACAAGTATACAGCATATATATGAACTTCTTCAAAAGCGTGGCTACTTGAAAGAAGCTCAGATATAGTTTTGAATACATAATTTGGCACAGAAACAAGTTAAATGTTGATGATCAATGTTGTATCTACAGCTTAGCATCAATGGAGATAAAGAGTACATGGATGACGCCCAGAAGGTCAACCCCTACCACTTGACGCCAATGATCGCAATGACAATCGGCCAATCGGAGGAGGGCAAGGAAGCGGGGCCGCTTCCGGTCAAGGTCGACCTCAGCAAAACATCTCTGTAAAAGCACAGAAGCGGTCAATACTTTTGGCGACTAGGGTTAAACTCATCTCCAGAGCAATTTCTCGCAATTTAAGGGGAAGTTACATTGTTTTTCTAAATAAAAAAAACATGCATGACTGCATTTATTATATCAGTTACGACGTACATCCTGTCTGAATACTAGTCTCCTCACTGAATTCGCAAAACCTCATGGAATTGTAGTATAGGTGCTTGTTCACATAATGTACTAACTCATTTTTGACTATAATGTATACATACACTAGTAACATTTGAACTCATGAACAATTTCGCAACAAGTTTCTTACCAAATTTTTTAAAAAACACACTGTATAAACACAGGGGCTCAGATGGTAGATTGCGCCACAACCTTAAAAGAAGAGCAGGGTTATTTGTCAAGCTTCAGCGTTTAGATACTACAATGAACGTTTAGTTTAACGATGAATACTTTCAAAGCGCCCCTCCTTGTTATTAATTGGTGTAGCATTTGAACTGGAAGATAAGCTTTGAAGGTAATCTGTCAGAGAGAGTCGCACTCGTAGATTCTCACTTTGATGGGAAACAAGCAACGGAAAAATCAAACGCAGCCAATTAGCGAACGATCTGTTTCGTAACGACATTTACAAAACATGAATGCATCCTTTGAACTGATATGTAATCAAACTGACTTAATTACTTTACAGATTGTGAATTCAGGTAGTTTGAAGAGTTAAATTAAGATTTTGTTCAAATGTATAGTTAAATTAAAAAAGTCTTTATAGGCTTTAGGATGTTTTGTACATGATTGTAAAGTGCTTTGGGTGTACAACAATACACAATAAAGCGCTATATAAATGCATCATTCATTCATACACGTAGAAAACGTATCCTTGTGTCGCGGCTGACACAGAATAGCGTATGCAGTTTGCGTCCAGCGGATATTCTCCAAAATGGCGCTACGGTGATGCTCCAAAGCTAAAGTTCAACTTAGTGTTTTATGGTAAAATGTATATGAATCTATACATCAATAATTATTGTTTTTGTTATTTTTATTCTGAAAATATAGTACTATACTAATATTACAGGCCAGATAATTCTCAATTTTATATATTGGGAGTAATAGGAGTCCCTGTCTGAAAAAGGTTGAAGACCTCTGGATTTCGTTAGATGTTAATTATAACTACTTTAGTCACTGTATATTGCAAGAAACGAGCGTTGCAATTGACCTTCCTCATCCACCGCAACCACATACTGGCAATCAAGTCATCTGCACACTTTTACAATGAAATTCCACTGTAATTGTAATAATTCAGCAACCACACGGGGGCGCTAGAAAGCTGTTGGTTACTGCAAAATGGATTAAAAGTGTACATTCACACTATGGCCACTAGACAGCGCACACTCACATAGTTTACTGTAGACGCCCGGGGGTTATTTTATTACATGCACACAGATGTAATTGAAATGAATCACTGGTTATATACCCTCAATTTAACGCCGGCATTACATACAGGGTGTCAAAAACCCATTTCTGACACATTAAAACTCTGCTTCTCAGACTTTTACAGCTAAAAAAAAAGCCACTGCTTCTCTTACCATTTACAGGTATTTTCCAAAAACAAACCACCTGTGCTGTGAAGCAGGTGCGAACCTGTGAAGGTCAGTGGCACATCTTAGGTGAGATGTCCAGCAGACTGTTCTTCAAAAATAGCTTGCTTCAGATATAACACCCTGTCACACACACTCTCCATGTGCCCATCGGCTGTGATAGAACATTTCCCACCTGGCTCAATGGATCTACCTACACAATCGATGAGGTGCGTCATATATATTAAATATTTAATAATGTACCGCGGAGGGATTTTGTATCACCCAGTCAGGGTTTATTATGTTGTAACGACTAGCTGATTTCACATTATCCCGTTTATTGTACTCGCAAATAAATACATGAAATTCAAATAAAACTATAATCTTACCTGTGCACTGTCTTAAAGCTTCCGCAACGAAACAAAACTAGTACAATAGTACAGGAATATTCATACAGAAGTCTTCTGACTCTGAGGTAATTCGTATGAAACCAGAGCGCGAGGCGGCACGTGATACGAGAGGCGGGAAAGTAGCGGAACTGAAGTAAGATATTTTCTAAGAATGTGCGAGACTTTAGATTTATTTGCCAATATAGGTAAATAACTAGAGAAATACGTGCAGCAAACGGTAAAAACTATTTGTGCTACACACCAGAGTTTATGATTATGATAATAAATTAAAATAATATGATACCAGTTTGCAATCTCAAGTAGCATAATGGACTGTTTTTGTACAGCTAAAATAAGTGGAAGCTATTGACACCGGAAGCAAAATTCCAAAAAGAATTGATTCTGAGGTTTGGGAATTGTCGATTCCATCAAGGAGAATGTACTCTTCTGTAAAAGCCTTTTTAAATTTATTTTAGAGCTCATTCATTCGCCTCTCTCTCAATAAAAGTGATTGGCGACCAAAATGACAATTTACAGAAATGTATCTTCATCTTTACAAGTAAAGCATCAATTATGAAATCTTACTTTCCACGACCTTCATCCTGTGGTCAAGGCAAGATTAGGTGAGCATGTTCCTCCAAGAAAATTGTCGGATTCCATTGATCCCAGAACAAGGAATCCGAATCAATTCCAAATCTGAATCGAACAGCCCCCTCTTACTTTAAAATTGAGTTGGATAGGTATCATAAAAATATATGATGTTACCTTTTATTTAGAAAAACAAAATGCAAATGAGCTGGTGGGAGAGTTAAAGATCACATCCTCCTATGCAAGTCAACGGTCTTTTTCTTCTTGGTGAGTATATATTTGCAAGAAAAGTTCACCCAGTTGAACCACCGTTTATTGACCTTTGTTCTAAACTTGTAGACTTTATTTTTTCGGTGGTACAGAAATAAAGATATTTTGCATGTCTAAGCTGCTTTCCAAATGAATGCACAATTGATAAATTATAATTTTGAGATGAACTATTCTTTAATGCACATTTTATTATTCGTACGACTCTCTTTTTGCCTTTTGCTCATTATCTGGTGTAGTCACCTCGGTTTAGTATTAACCTGAAAGGCAGCAGATGAGGATATCAGATAGAGACCATTGTGCTGCTGTGCAAACATTAACATGGTCGACAGGACTGCGATGCCACACAATAGGCTTGCTGGGGGACTACAGAAACCCAACTAAAGATAGATTTGTTTGCGTATGACTCACACGGTCAGTTTCCGAAGCATCTGACTCAATGCTAAAGCACAAAGCTAATAACAACCCTACGTGAACCCTGTTCTGCTCTGTTTGTCCCCCCATACGCACAGCCCGAGCCCTATCCCACAGTGCACTGCACTTGATGAAGACCTGCGCTGGTTTCTGAATAACAGCATCTCGCCACACCTGATGAGAATAAATCTAGATGAGGATTTTTACAGTGGGAGGGATTAGGGGGGGTTGTAATCTCAGCGTGGTAGCGTTAAAGCGATAGTTCAGGCGAAATGAAAATACTGGCCCTATTTACTCACCCTCATGTTATTTTGTCTGTGAAACACAATTGGAGAATTTTCTGTAGAAGCACAGTTGTTTGTTCATATGGAAATCATTTTGTGACTTTCATTCCATGGCACTGATTCTTATCACTAACCTGAAATTGACGCTGGTGTGACGTCCTTACCCATAATACCTTAAAATAAGTACAGTGTGACTAACACGTCAATCATGTTGTGTCACAGTTCAAAGCTGTGCCTGCACTTCAAATGTGCTGCCACAGAGGGCGCAGTTGAGCTTCATCGCCGCTTGTAGAGACTGTCTTTGGGCTAGAGCTCAGCTTCTACCATATACGACTTCCTTATCAGTCCCAGCCTGCTGGTAAAGTCAGCCTGCAGTGCATTGAAGAGTCAAACTCGCCGCCATACAGGGTGCTGTAGAAATGAACAGATTAATGAAAGAGAGTAAGAGAAAAACAGTGAGAGAAAGTGGTATGAATGTGATATTGCCTATTTTCCATAATCATCTCATGTATGCATAAGTAGGTGCTTTTTGGAGGTTTTATGAATGTGGTCACTTGTGGACTATACCAAATATGCATAAGGTATGACACTAAAATATTTGTGTATTTGTTTGACCTCGCTATGAGGTTATGTACTGTACATTGGTAAAAGAGCAATAATCAAGAATAAAGATTCTATGAAGAAAACTATGAACATCTATATGCGAGAATTGCAAGCCCTCATTTCGCACTATATCATGTATCTGTCAACCCAGACAGAAAAAATGATATTAGTATTTTTGCATGTCTGGATGGACATCCAATTTGTGTAATCATTCACATTTCAATTAATTAAAACATGAATAATACTTTTTTTTCTGTAATAAAAGTGGCAAGATGAAAACCACTATTTTCTGTTTCAAACTTTCACATAGCATCTTTAGGTTATGATAACATAAAAAATTCAAATCCAGATTTTGATTTTCAAAGATCTATTATAACATTTTATAATTTTTTCCCCCAAAATGCAATAAATCCATGACATGTTTTTTTTTCTTCCAAAATGCAATAAACCCATTGAATCAATATAAAAGTTATTTTTTATATTGAAACTGTTGAAAATACACAACATAGTAAGTTAATCCACATATGACAGCCTCTGAACTTGGTCAATACTAATCTTATATACATACAGGCACTGGACTAAAAATACATTCAATCGGTTATCGCTCCCAAAATGAATTTAACGGCTCATCTTGTTAATGCTATAAATTAATTACAATAATAAAAGAAAATCTCATCATGAACATACATGAACAACAATATAACATTAAACCACAGAAATTCCAAAATGACATTTCCCTTACATTCAACTTCCAAAAGTGCATTCATCTTTGCCATGTTACATTCATTTAGTTGACTAGTGCTATACGCTGTATTAACAAAAACATTAATGGCATAAATAAAAACACTTACACTGACAAGCTACGCAATATCGCGTTCATAATCGAATGCGACTCATTTGCGATTATGAACGCGATATCGAAGTGATCTATGGCTTTGTGTATTAAATGCCGCTCCAGAGATTTACTACTAATCACAGAACCGGCTTTACTGACGAGATGCGCATGACAATCACATGTGATTTATCGTGCAGCCCTAAGTTTGTTTGTTGAT